AACTAACTTATACCAGAGTCGCAGTGGAGGTCGACCAGATCGATGTAGACGTACGAATAGAGGTATAAGCCATGACGATACTTACAGACAAGCAGTGGAGGTCGACCGGATCGATATAGCCGTACTTGCTGAAGAACTCACCGAGATCTACTCTACTCCTACTCCTAAGGGGTGGTCAGAGCTGAAAAAGTAAGTAACTTGTATTTGATTGATTGTGTGTCTTTTTACAATAGCCGGGGTTTGATATTTATACCCGGAGCCTAAAAACGAATCCTACTCGAGTACGACTCAGTACAATCTTTGGTACGAAGAAAACATTCCTATTTTAAGATAACCTGGACTCTAATCTTTCCCCTTTTGTAGAGTCCGATATGTATCTTCTCGATGCCAATCATATCTCATCATCGTTATCTGCTGACGTCATTTAAAGAGAACCGATCCTAGTGTCGCATCCGAACCGGCACATATCAATCTTTACGCAATCGACTCCTCGATTGACACAATCTTGGAAGCCTACGAGTTCCCACGCTCTTCTCCCTAATTTTGGTGTAAACAAGGAGAGGCCAACAGGTCAAACGAGTCGATCGGACGGCTCGAGCAGCAGCTGGGTGACAGGTAAGGAGCAGCAAGATGCCCCATGCGGGTTATGCCAGCCCCGTCATGAACGACGGACATGGATCCCTTTCGAACATATCCAATAAGAGCTCCCCAGACCCATCACTCGAGCCATCAAGGTAACTTTACCAAACCTCCTTTTATTTTCTAGTGCATGATCATTCATTCATCCATTCTCATGCATGCATTCATACATTCATCCCATACATCCAAGCATCACATATGCAATTGATGCATCACAACGCTTCATGTTGCGCCGCGAAGCGGTAGTCGCCTCATTCGACATGAGCGACGACCGACCGGGGTTCGAAGGCTGGTCCGCAAAGGGCTCGAGGCTGCCTCACATCAAACAGAGCCAAGGGAGAAAATGCAGATGAGCCCCAGCGGCGCTCGCCCGATCCGCTCCAAAGCGGACAGGGTCAGCTCGACCTTCTCATTTGATCCTAACCTCGAGCCATGCCCACAGAATCTCCATCGAAGGGAGGCCAGTAGGCCACCTGAGTCGGTCTCTAGAATGGCTTGGGCATCTACCGAGAGATGGGTTAAGGAGCAGTGGAATGTCACATGAGGGTTGTGCCGACCCCGTTACTAATGACGGACCCGGATTCCACTCAAACGTAATCGTTATTAAGCTCACCGAGCACGTCACTCGAGCCATCGAGGCAAGCGACGTTAGCTCAACCTCTCTGGTTGTGGAAACCATGGACGGGATAATGCACAAAACTAGACCGACCCCTCAGCCACGCCCGACGCTTGGGTTGGCACTCCGCCTCGCCCGACCCCTCGGCCATGCCCAATGCTTGGGTTGGCGACCCGACGCTTGGGTTGGCACTCTGCCTCGCCTAACCCCTCGACCGTGCCCGAAGTTTTGGTTGGCCCTCAGCGGTGCTCGACACTTGGGTTGGCGACTCCGCCTTGCCCGACCCCTCGATCGCGCCTGACGCTTGGGTTGGCGACCCAACACCTCACTCCACCTCACCCGATCCGCTCTGAAGTGGATAGGGTCATCTCGATCTTCTCATTCGATCCTAACCTCGAGCCATGCCCATAGAATCTCCATCGAGAGGAGGCCAGCGGGCCACCTGAGTCGGTCTCCAGAATGGCTTAGGCATATACCGGGAGGCGGGTTAAGGAGCAGTGGAATACCACATGAGGGCTATGCTGACCCCCGTTATGAACGACGGACCCAGATTCCACTCGAACGTACCCGCTATTAAACTCACCGAGCGCGTCACTCGAGCCATGAGGCAAGTGACATTAACTCAACCCCTCCGGTTGCGGAAACAGCGGATGGGGTAACGCACAAAACTAGACCGACCCCTTGGCCACACCCGACGCTCGGGTTGGCACTCTGCCTTGCCTGACCCCTCGGCCACGTCTGACGCTTGGGTTGGCGCTCCGTCTCGTTCAACGGCGACCACAATCTTACACCCACCGGGTGCACTCATGAAACAAGTATAAATAGCCCCTTTACAACTTCATAGAAGTCCCAAAAGGGCTCGGGGCTCCTGTCGAGTTCATAAACCCAGGGTCTCCAATGGACCTGCTTTCCTGCAAAAACTCGGCCCAGCAGACGGCATAGCAACAACGCTCGCCTCCCGGGCCAGCCCAGATACAAGCCAGGGCAACGATTCGATCCCCGATCGGAAGGGCTGGCCAAGGTGGGGGCACAGTCTGACTCCGACCTCCTTTTCTGACCGATGATACGTCGGACCTCTGCTCGTGATTCTTCCTCGACCGACACGGTAGGGGCCGACTAGGTACAACCGACCGGGGACGCCCGCTTGGTAAGGGCCCGAGGACCAGGAGGAGCAGATAAGGTAAGACGCTCAAGTCAACCGCAATACCGAGGACCGTACCCTGCCATGCCCTACGCACCTTCAGGATGGTGCCAACAGGCCATGCTAGACCGACACTATGCAACCTTCCAGGCATGTCAGAGCACAAACAGTATTGTAGGCACCGACGTTTGTCGTACTAGGCGAACACGGTAGAGCCTGCCACATGCGTCTGACATAAACAGTATTGTGGGCGTCGACGATCGTCTCGTACACGACAGCGTGGGCAACAAGACTAGGAAGCACACGTATCCATTCTCTCTTTCTCTGACTTGTAAGGCCATCCCCTTCAACTATAAAAGGGGATGCACTCTCTCCTCTCTGGGGGACGCTCTCTCTAGATCTAGACAACCTGAGCACTCAAACAGCTCAACGATTCTAGAACTCTAAAGCTACACAGAGCATACGCTCTAATACTTAGCGCACGTTAGAGCATCTGTCACTCTGGGTCACTTGGTTTAGAGTCCGACCGGGCCTCTAACCCCCCTTCTCATTCCTACTCGTTTGTAACCCCATAGCAAACTTCGAGCACCTAGTCTCAGGAATAAAGTCACCGACCGACTGAAACTAGACGTAGGGCACGTTGCCTAAACCAGTATAAATCATGTGTCATTGAGTGCTAGGCCACATCCGATCACAACGCACGGCAGAACTACAAATATTTACTTGTTGGTCACTTTTTGCACCGACACAACCTTTTCAGTTGGATGACTCTTTTGATGACACCAATAGGCGATTTGTGCAGAGAATCCAAGAATCAGAGGTCAGAGAGGCGTTGAAAAGAATGAAAGAAGGTAAAGCAATGAGACCGAATGATATCCCAATCGAGGCGTAGAGATGTCTCGGGGACATAGCTATGGTATGGTTAACCAAGCTGTTCAACTATATTTTTCGATCAAACAAGATGCTTGACGAGTGAAGGAGAAGTATATTGGTACCGATCTACAAGAATAAAGGAGATATTCAAAGTTATTCTAATTACCGTGGAATTAAGTTGATGAACTATGAAGCTATGGGAGAGAGTTATCGAGCATCGCTTGAGAGCAATAATGCGGGTCTCTATGAACCGATTTGGTTTCATGCGCGGAAGGTCAACCATGGAAGCCATTTTCTTAATAGGACAAGTTATGGAGCGATATAGAGAGAAGAAGGACCTACACATGGTTTTTATTGACTTGGATAAGGCTTATGATAAAATATCAAGAAATGTTATGTGGTGGGCTTTGGACAAACATAAAGTCCCAATAAAGTACGTCGGGCTTATTAAGGACATGTACAACAATGTTGTGACTAGTGTTCGAACAAGTGATGGAGACTCGGATGACTTCTCAATTAGGATAGGACTATATCAAGGGTCAGCTTTGAGCCCTTATCTATTTGCCTTGGTGATGGATGAGGTCACAAGGGACATACAAGGGGACATCCCTTGGTGTATGCTTTTTGCGGACGATGTAGTGCTAGTTGATGAAAGTCGGACAGGAGTGAATCGAAAACTGGAGTTGTGGCGGGAGACTTTGGAGTTTAAAGGTTTTGGACTTAGTAGAACTAAAACTAAGTATATGAGATGTGACTTCGGCACAACTACTCGGGAGAAGGAAGATGTTAGTTTGGAAGATCAAGTAGTGCCTAGAAAGGATACCTTTCGATATTTATGATCAATGCTACAGAGAGACGGAGATATTGATGAAGATATTAGCCATAGAATCAAAGCAAGGTGGATGAAGTAGCGCCAAGCATCTGGTGTCCTGTGTGACAAAAGGGTACCACAGAAGCTAAAAGACAAGTTTTATAGGACGACGATTAAACCTGCTACTTTGTATGGTGCAGAGTGTTAGCCTACGAAAAGACGACATGTTCAACAAATAAGTGTCGCGGAAATGCGTATGTTGCGTTGGTTTTGCGGTCATACAAGAAGGGATCGAGTTCGTAACGATAATATACGTGATAGATTAGGGGTAGCACCAATTGAAGAAAAGCTTGTCCAACACCGGTTGAGATTGTTTGGACATGTCTAACGGAGACCTCCAGAGACACTGGTGCGTAGTAGAATCATAAGCCAGGACAGTAACGTGAAGAGAGGCAGAGGAAGACCGAAGTTGACTTGGGTAGAGGCACTAAAAAGAGACTTGAAAGGATGGAATATACCCAAAGACTTAGCCTTAGATAGGAGTGCTTGGAAAACAGTTATTCACATGCCTGAACCTGCTTCTGCTGGGTTTCAAATCTAACCTACCCAATTTATTTGGGATTTAAAGGCTTTGTTGTTGTTGTTGTTAGATTTGTGACTTCTGCATTTGCTTGTTAGATTACTAGCTTCAAAACATTGGCTTCTTGTTGCAGATTTCCTTGATTGGTTGCTGACCAAACTATGTGTTGCGAGCTGCATACCATGTGTTTGATATAATGCCCATGTGAGATGTGACCAGTGCATACTATCCTTTTGCTAAACTGGATTTCATTTGCATAGATAGCTAGAAGGCCATCGCCGACATACCCGAGGGCCTGCCCGCCATCATCACTACGTGCCTCACGCTCGGGACCAGGAAGATGGCTGCCGGTGATTCTTCAAGGTGGACGGTACAACGTATGATCCCTAGGATGGGAAATTCACGATTGCCCTGCTGGGAGCATTGATGCCAATGTCACACATTCTTCACATCAGTATGTTGCCACTGGAATGCCGACATAGGCAGCTTTAAAGGTGAGGATTGCTAAAACTTACACGCTATTCACATTCTGCTATTGTTACTATCTCCAGATCCTTATTAGTTAGGCGTATATGGTATAACTCTAATTCACCAGTTTCAAATGTAGTTGACCATCATTCTGCAAACAGCCTATTATGTACAGTACGATGATAACTGGCAACTGAAAGTGGTTTTCTCCCATGTGTTCGTCCAACGAAGAACCATCTAGATTAAGCTAATATCTTTACATTCTTATTAACTAATGCAGTCCTTTCCAAATTACTGAGAAGATAAGAAAAAAAGTTTGCTTGCAGCACTGATTTGTTTGTTGATTGGATTTGAGATTTGTATCTTCAGTTGATTAAAGAACAAGTCCAGGATGTTGCATTTTATACTTTTTTACTTAGAAAAACCATGAATCCTAATTTTCCTGCATCCCTTATTCTTTCTGTAATTTTGTAGGTAAAGGCTCTTTTGGCTGATTCGGAACGAAGTGAACTTTTGAGAAGACTCAGCGAAGCAAATCAATATAACCGATTCCTCAAGAGACTGGTTATTTTTAGTGTTCTCTTTCAAATAACACATCATCAAATATTTGTCCATAGTGAACTATTTTCTACTTCTCCCAAATACTAAGCTACTGAAGGAATAGCCAACAGCGGCTCAATTTCTTAATCTATTGAAAACAGCATCTAGACATTTAATAAAAGGAAAACCAACTGCTCTGTCCAGTCAATGTGTTTACAATCATGAGGTGGTCAGCGACATACAGTGAATTTGCTTTGATCAGAAACAAATGCATGTAGAACTCACCAGCTACTTTTAAGTTCAGTTTAATTCACTTTTATAGCAAAATCAAAGGATATCTACTTGACAAAAAATGATAGAGAAAGCATAATTTAACAAAATAGGGGCTGTGGCAAAGCAACAAAATAGGGGCCTGTGGCAAAGCTAGGGAGAACACTGCCCAGGATTCCGAGTCCTGGATTTGAAATGCAACTCACAGCAGTTGCTCACAAAATATTATGGTGAACAGAAAAGCCTGGTTGTAGCTGTTGGTGATTAGCAAAAGTGAAAAATAACTGAGACAAGTAACTTTAGAAGACAAGTAATAGAGACAATTGTTGTTGGGAAACAAGGCATCGTGTTTGCTAACTTCCTTTTTTTTGTTTCTTATTACTTCTAGGTTTTGGTTGAGAAAATGGGTCTACCTGGAGGAAATAATGGTCTGTCCTTGGATCTGTCTGATACATTAGGCAACAAATACATCCTCTTCGCACCTTACCTAGGTTCTATATTTTTCCTCCATGGTGAGTGGTGCTTAATAAATACGTACATCCAAGGAGTCTCACACGAGTGGACTGCAATGTTGTTTGTGACAGGCTGCTGCAAATGGTGGAAGAATGTTGCCAAAAGGATCGCTACCCTCGAGTTTGATCACACAAGGAAATCAATTGGTGCCATTGTGAAAGCCAGTTCAGGAAGCAATACCCTGCTCGTGAAGGTATCATTCCCCTATTTCCTGCATTTGTACTTACGATTTTTCATGTACAAGTGTACCCCTTCTCTAAATATGATTTTCATTGGATCACATGTTTGCTGAACTGGTATTCAGAGTGCTTGTATTCATGGCAGGGAGCTGTTGAAACTTTACTTGAGCATCGGCGCGTGTTGTGGGTGCCGCTGTTCGGGGATCTCTCTTGAACGTGGCGGCGGCGTGTGCTGTACGTGCCGTCGCCAGCCTGGAACACGAGTCCTGCACAGCGGACCCGGGTGCTTCTAGCGCACTCTGCTTCCAGTTCGTCTTTGGTCATTCCATTTACTTCTGATGATTCTAATTCGTGCTTGCTTTCAATAGGCAAGACGAACGAGATGGGCAAGAGGCAACAAAGGTTTCATGTGAATACGTCGGGCTTTGCTTTCAATAGCTGTATGCTCTAGGATGCTGACAAGAGGCCTCTTCAGGCGTGGAATTACATCTAGCTACTCGACACGGTCAGATATGGGTTTCAGGTAAGGCTGCTCATGTCCCTGTTGAAAACTTCCATTTCTGAAAGTACATGCGTTGCTCATAAAATAGTCTGGCCAGTTTTTTTGGTGACAAGTGCAGCAGATTGCGACTGTCGTTTTATTTTTGCAAGGCCCTGATTTAATTGCTCCTATTTTTGCATTCCCTGATATTTGTAGTTTACTAACTTACAAAGTCAGAATTGCCTAGCTTTCCTTGGTTGTGCATGATTGTATAAGATTTACTGTACCCAAATCCGTATCCCTCCAAATTTTGTGTGAATCATACTAAATTTGCTCTGACCCTGTCAATTACATGTATATTGATTCAATTCATAGAGTGCCATTTAATTAGGACGGTTATTATGGGCATCGAGCTAGGAAGCCCTTAGTTTGAACAGTGTGATATTTGACCACTTGATGCCTCTCCAATAGCTTCATAGTTCAATCTCATTTTTACGGACTGTATTGCATTATTGTATCCTGTTACAGGGAGATGGAACTGAAAGATATTTTATACCTCTTCAGTCAATGCAAAAAGTAATTATCCTGGGAAATTACATGAGGCATTTTGACTACTTCGACCTGTACTTCCTCTCTGTTGTATATTATGGAAGATTTTTACCCTACACAAAGCAATTATTGGTTCTTTTCCATGCACATATAGGTATTGAGATTAATACAGTAAAAAACATTCCTTCTATGCATGTCATCCCCACATATAGCTTACTCTGCTTGTGTAATGATATTCCGGTATTCTTATGTAACTTTGTGAAGAACTAATATTGATGCAATGGACATTTATGAACTGTTATCATGTTTATGTCAGTTCGATGGTAAATAAAGAAAAAGGCGTTACACCTGCATGAGACCTTTATGTCAGCTATTTGAGGAACTATGCTATCAGCGTGTGTTAAGTTTGTACCTTTGAACCTTTATATTACCTATCTTAGGATCTATGTTATTAATGTGTGAAGTTTGTAATCTCAAACATCTTGGCTTTGCTTTGAAACTTTATGTCAGCTATCTTAAGATCAATGTTATTAACGTGTGGTAAGTTTGTAATAATCTTCAAACGTCTTAGCTTTGTCATGTTTTTGTTTCGTATGTCGTCATGCTTTTTCATAAAGATACGAGTGGTGCCAGCCCGCGCCTTTGCGCGCACTAATCACTGGTATATATACTGTTCTCCCTTCTCACCACTTTTTCCTTACTTGGATGTTGCTCAGCAAGCAGCCTGGGAACGGGAACATGGCCCACGTTCCGGGAACATCTGTTTCCATATTATAAAATGATACCCGCAATGGAAATGGAAACATGGCTGCTAAGGCTCAGCTTCCGTGATGGCTTCTTATGATTCTCATTAGTCATTTCCATCCCTCATTAAGCTCTAGCTATGCAGGGTTTCAGTCGCCAATCGACCTCAGTTGTGCTCTTACAGTAATGCTCTCGCAACCAGATCAAGTGCTAACTGAACGAGAACCGAGCTGCGCTCGGATGGTTAGCACAGCCGGTGGCATTCCAGCCGGCGCGAGTTCGATTCCTAGGAATCACACTCGCGTTTCTCACCGGGTTTGCCCCCAAATAAATTCTGGTGCCTCTCACGTGGAGCCACAAAGGAAATGCGACACGCCTCGTCGTCTACGGGTCTATAGTTAGATCCGGTGATCTCACAAATGACACGTTCTAATCTGAGTATAGTTGTAGGTTTGTTTATGTACGTATAGTGTACTTTTGTGTGGTTGGTGTGAGTCTGTACATGAGCAGATGCTACAGATCTACCGAGACGAGAGACGTTAAAAAAAAGTGCTAACTGAACAGTACGTGAGTTTGTAATACATCATGACCGATGCCTCGCTTGGCATTGACGTCGTCATCGAGAAGCTTCTGCACATCACAACAGTCATCGACACACGTGACGCATTCCTTCGTCACCATGAAAGCTCATGCGTCATCAAAACTGAAAAGGCATCTAGGGGGTGTTTGTTGCCCCTCCTAAATTTTAGTCGCTGTCTCATCGGATATTTAGACACATGCATAGAGTATTAAATATAGACTAATTATAAAACTAATTGTATAGTTTGCAACTAATTTGCGAGACGAATCTTTTAAGCATAATTAGCCATGATTTGACAATGCTTTGCCACAGTAAACATGTGTTAATGACGAATTAATTAGGCTTAAAAAATTCATCACGTGTAGTACTGATGAATTATGTAATTTGTTTTTATTAATATCCGAACACCCATGCAACATCCTCCCAACATAACTTCTAAATTTTAATAGCTAGATCCAAACACCCCTAGCATTTGCTCAAGGGTTTCTGGGATTGTTTTGAGTTCTGTGAGTACCTAGGATGTTACAATGTTTGACATGACATGTCTTGAGTTATTAATTTGCCGCTGTTCAGGTGCTCATACTTAGTACTCACGTGTGAGTCAAATTAGTTTAACTTTAATCAAGTTTATAGTGAACAATATTAAAATTTATGTCTCGAACTAATTTTATTATAAAAACATATTTCGTAATCAATTTAATGGTACTTACTTTGCATTATAATTATAAAATTTTATATACTGTTAGTCAAACTTCAAATCTTTGGACTCCTAAAAAAAGAATTGTATTCTTTTGTGAACGGAAGGAGTATAATTTTAGCATATGCGGGTACATGTATATTTAGTAATCAAGCAATATTATCATTATTTTTCACCACACGGACTGTCTTAACTAATTTAACTTTTGTTATAAGGAAAACTACTTCAGTCTTCACCAGAAATTATCTGGTGAACAATTGGGGACCATTCAAAAGAATATATTTTCATTTTCTGTCATAGCACATCATTTTTCTTTCGTATTAAAATATCATGCATCTAAACATTGGACATATATTTCAATTCCACAATTCTTTTCAGCAAGGTTTCTATTTTCATCTACAATCACCTAAGTTTCATCGTCTAATTCGTCTAATTCCCGCGGGGGGAATGCATCTAGTTTTATATAAGTCAAGTAGTAGTTTCTTATATACCTTCTCGGACAGGCCATCGTGCCGGCTCAATTCAGCATTACAGCTGTACTTGACAAAGCAAGCACTAGTGCACTACCAAATCGGACCAGCACCACCGCACGGCCCACGGCCCACGTTAAGTCTCCTCGTATACAGACATGAGACAATGTCAACCCGGAATTTTCCTTCGTCCCCCGTCTCCTCCTCGCCGTCCCTCCTCCCTCTCTCCCGTCTCGGCTAGGGTTAGGTCGTCTCGCCAAGTCGCCATGATGCAGCAGCCCCCGCCGCCGCAGCCGCAGCCGGGCATGGCACCGCCTCCTCCTCCTCAGGCCGGTGGCGGGCAGCCACCGCAGTGGGGCGGGATTCCGCCGCCGATGACGCAGCAGTACGGCGCACCGCCTCCGCAGCAACCTCCGGCGATGTGGGGCCAGCCTCCGCCGCAGGCGCACTACGGGCAGGCGCCGCCCCTTCAGCCGTACTACGCCGCACCGCAGGCGCCGGCGCCAGCGGCGGCCGCCCCCGATCTGACGGACGAGGTTAGGACGCTCTGGATCGGGGACCTGCAGTACTGGATGGACGAGAACTACGTCTTCGGATGCTTCGCGAACACTGGGGAGGTATGTCACCCGATCTGATTGATGCTGGCGGTGGATGCGTGTGATTTCGATTGTTGCTCTTCACGGAATATATGATGCGCCCGCGCCCTTTGCTGCCGCTAATAGGTCTTGCTTTAAGGTTTATAAAGATTTTGATTGTTTACTAGTTTTGTTGTGAATTTCGTACGACTGCTGACGATTGAAGCTCCAGGTTAAGTTAGTTTGTAGTGATTCTAGAACCTATTGTAATGATCAAGCTCTGGGCTATATTTGTGATTGAATCGTTAATTTTAAATTTTGTTTCATGAATTGTTAGCATGATCTGGCGATAGTTGTATATCTCGTAAAATAACTTAAAATTGTTGTTTTCTGTTTTTTTTTGCTGCCTATTTCTTCTACCCAAGGGTAATAATGTTTAGCAGCCATTGAGCCATTTTTTTTTTTTGAGCAAGACTATTTATATGCTTCAGTTTGAGTTTCCTGATTGGTGTTTATAGATCTATGCTGCCCATGCATTCATGATTTTCTGAACCTTTACTTCATATTTACATGATTTTTCAGGTTCAAAATGTGAAGCTCATCCGTGACAAGAATTCAGGACAGCTTCAGGGCTATGGTTTTGTTGAATTTACAAGCCATGCAGCTGCAGAGCGAGTTCTTCAGACATACAATGGACAGATGATGCCAAATGTTGAGTTGACATTTCGGCTGAACTGGGCCAGTGCTGGTGAAAAGCGTGATGATACTCCTGACTATACTATTTTCGTTGGGGATTTGGCTGCAGATGTTACAGATTACTTGTTACAAGAGACATTCAGGGTTCATTATCCCTCGGTGAAGGGTGCAAAAGTTGTGACTGATAAATTGACAATGCGCACAAAGGGATATGGGTTTGTGAAATTTGGTGATCCTACAGAGCAAGCTCGTGCAATGACTGAAATGAATGGAATGCCTTGTTCTTCCAGGCCTATGCGTATTGGTCCTGCAGCAAGTAGGAAAAATACAGGAGGTGTTGTTCAAGAGAGAGGTAAGCATGGCCAGTCTCATGTCCTTGTGATTCTTGTTAGCTTCTACATGTTTGCTGATTGATGCAATTGAGGATACATTTAACTTGTTATGTTCATATTAGCCCTTTTGGGTTGTTTTATTACTTGTGTTCAGATCAAAGTTAGGAATAGGTGTCGACCACTTCACTTCCAGAAGTCATTATTCCTAGTACAACATTCCCAGTGTGAATTTGGATAATTTAATGCATAGAACGATAGTAGACTCATGGAACTCATGTTATCTGGAAGCAGGATACCAACAGGCTCTATTCGTATAGGAGCCTTGGAACTGACCTGAGCTGCAATGCATTTCTTGTTTAATGCGTGGCCTCATTTAGGTCAGTGTAAATCATTTGTCCTAAATTCAAAGTTGGTTTCCTTAAGTTTCTGGTTCTTTGTACTTTTCCATGCTATCTCTGATTCTGTTTCGTCTGTGTATGCACTTAGTGCACAATTTCTTTTTGTACATCTTTTATTAGTGCATGCTTTCTGCTACGGCTGAGGGATTGAAAACTCTTTCCCATATATTTAGACTCCTAAAGCTTAGAAATACTTGTCGGCTCCTTCCCTACAAGGTTTTTTTTTTTTTTTTTAGGGGTGGGGGTGGGGGGTGGGTGGGGGTGGAGAATACTTTTTACTGCCTTTTTATTCTCTTCAATTTGTTCTAGGTGGTGATGGTCGAGTCTTGACTATGTATTCATCAGTTTTCCTTTGTTTCCTTCAACTTGGATTTATCAATATCTGTGCACAACAGCACATGTGCATGGTCTGTATCTACTTAGCTAATCTGAGATATGAAGTAATGGTTAGAGCTGAGATTTTAATTGCATAGTGTGTTCCATATTTTGTTCTATTGGTGCAGGTTGGTTTCATGCTTTATGCACAGTGTACCAAAACAACATTTTTTTTGCCTTGGACCAATAAATAATTTTCTACATAATTTATTTCTTATTGGCTCTCTCTTTGGCAGTTTAGCCGCTTGAATCCGATGTTACCTGAATTTTGGACCTGTCTAGTTGACTAATGTTCTTACCAATACCAAGATTTCTTCATAATTGTATGCTTTAGATGGGCTAACTTCGTATAATTGCTCTGATGCATTCTATTCTCCTATGTGCATATAACACGATATGCATGCACATTTTGCCATTGGTAAATGTTCTCATTGTCGAATATGTGTGAACCTAATAACTTTAGCGACCTGTAGGCTTTTTCGTGGTTAGCATTCATTTATTAGATATTGCTATTCATCAAATCTTACAATATATGTTGCCTTCACTTTTTTGCTTTTATTTACAGTACCAAATTCTCAAGGAGCTCAGTCTGAGAATGATCCTAACAATACCACTGTGCGTTCTTAATTCTTTTTTCTGCATATCAGTCAATTCATCTCCCAGTTTTTTGTTAACTTTATTCTGTTGTCTTCAGATATTTGTTGGTGGGCTTGACCCCAATGTCACTGAAGATGCCCTAAAACAAGTTTTTTCTCCTTATGGTGAAGTCGTCCATGTTAAGATCCCTGTTGGGAAGAGATGTGGTTTTGTTCAGTTTGTTACCAGGTTGACCTTTATTTACTCATTTGGTATATTGGCATGTATTTTGTAAAAGTATTTTTGTCTTAGTTACTATGACAATGCATTTCAGACCTTCTGCCGAGCAAGCACTGCTAATGCTGCAAGGGGCCTTGATTGGTGCGCAAAATGTTCGGCTTTCGTGGGGCAGAAGCCTGTCGAACAAGCAGGCTCAGGTCATTTCTTGCATACCACTTTTCTTCCTGCCATGTTGTATAGTGTAGATGAAGTGCTAATACTGTGATGTAAAATTCTCAGCCTCAGCAGGAATCCAACCAATGGGGTGCAGCAGCAGCTGCTGGTGCTGGTGGTTACTATGGTGGCTATGGACAAGGTTATGAGGCTTATGGCAGTGGGTATGCACAACCTCAGGATCCTAACATGTATGCTTATGGTGCTTATGCTGGTTATCCCAATTACCAACAGCAACCAGCTGCACAGCAGCCACAGCAACAACAGGTGAAGCTCCTAGCTAATTAATGCCATTTAGAGTTTAAATGGTGACAAAATCATCTCCACTAATAACAAGTGTATTGCCATCGTTCACATTGCCTAACCTGGCTTACGTGCCAGGATCAATGGGCATTACATGATGTTTATATAACCTTATTTACTGATCACACGCTGTTTTGTTTTCTTTCTTGCAGTGAGGCGTGTTTGCTCGTGTAGGTCATTGGGTTGTCGAGATGGAATTAATTAATACTATTTCAAGGCACTCTTATATTGCATTCTTGTCAATAGAGGTGGTTTCGAAAGGCTCCTGATTTTGATGGCCCCATGGCCCGGTTTAATCTATTTATATCATATATATGCACTGTGTTGTGTCTATGAACAAGTGGTGCTCTACTGTGATTGCTATGTTGAGACATGCTTAGTTTCTTTCCATGCTTCTCGGATCTATTGTTATCTGTATTACTGTGTATTGCTTATCTACTGTGATGATGCTATATATGCACTGTGCCGTTTGTTTCCTATCCCATTTTTCTGGTTACTTTATTATAGCGTTGGATTCGTTCTTTATAACTACGGACAACTGTGTTTTGTTCTCAGGTTAATATTTTTTGTTGAAGCCTTGTGACTGTAAGCATGAGGTACCATCGGTTTCGTGGCCGTCCAAATCTGAGCACAGTGGTATTACAGTTACAGTACGATGAATCGTTTTCAGTATTCTGCGTGGAATTGCACCATGGATGTTTCTTTACGATATCATATCATGACCCGCTCGTGGCAGCGATGTCACTTCGCCTTGTCAAGTGATAGGATACGATCGTGAACAGCAACAAAAACATAAATTACGCATATATTCGTAACACACGTCAGTTTACATGAATGATAAACACCGAGCTTGTACTAGGAACCACCTTTTGAGTAGGCATTACCGATGCTTACTTTTTACAAACGAGATCAGATTTAGCTATCATTTGAATTTCTACAACAAATTGCGCTTATTTCCCCTTGGCGACGCCTTTCTCCGTTTCAAAATTCAAAGAGTTACATGCGCATGCAAAATTTGGTGCATGTAATAAAAAAAACTCCAAACATGCCCATGCTGGCTCGCGTACATACCGAGATCACCTATATAACATAAAAAAAAATCACGCCGCCAGGCTTTAAGATTCGCGCGGAGCAAGAACAGACGCATCATCAACCCGGAAAGGAACGGAGTCACGGAGCACAAAAGGCGCGAGCACTCGCGTTGCGGTGCCACCTCCGATCCGAAGCGAGTGCGAGTCACACGGCCGCGCCCCTTGGTCCTTTCCCCGCTTGCCTTTTTCGGGTCGGCTCCTACGCCTCCCCTCCCCTCTCTCTCTCTCTCTCTCTCCCATGGCCCGCCCCAGGAAGGCGAAGCCGCCGCCGCCCTCGCCGCCCAAGGCGGCGGCGCCGTCCATCGCCGAGGCGCTGCTGCTGGCCACGGTCTGCATGGTGGGCCTGCCCGTGGAGGTGCGGGTCCGCGACGGATCCGCCTACGCCGGCGTCCTCCACACCGCCTGCGTCGACGCCGGATACGGTGCGTGCTCCGCTCTTCCCTCACTCCCCTTCCCTCCCGCCGCCGCTCGTAAAAGCTTGCCCTCGCTGGGGTTGCCCCGCAGGGTTTGGGGATCGCGGGAATGCCGTCCGGGACGTGATCCAACAGTGGGTGGAGTTGGGCGGTGGGTGCTGCCGGGCTCGCTGGTGCCCCCCGTTTTCCTTTGCATCCGTTTAATCTGCTCGCTGGACGGGTGATTGTGGTCGCTGGGAGCCCGCGGGATGTTAGTTTTCTCGGTGCGTCGGGATGGATTTGGAGGCGGGTGGTAGAGATCGCTGGGTCTGGTTCCTCTTGTGTTACAGCTATGCATGCTTTTTTTTGTTAGCGGCCAAGATCTCGGTCTTTTCGTCTTGGTTGAGGTGTTGATTTTGCGGTGTCGTGGCAACCGCGGCATGATTGGGCTCAAGGTATGGATTATGGGGATGACGCGCTGTGGAATTCCAAGATCATAGGGAAGGCTCCTAGTTTCTGGTACAATGTATGTAAATAGAGTATGCTCTACTTTTGTGGTAGGCATTTATTACTGGTTTGTCCTATATACGTGCTGCGAGTTGAAGCGCCGAATATTTAAAGATGAAAAATCGTCTTTCTGTTGGGAAAAAACATTGCATTGATGACTTCATGTTGATCAGGTGTTGTGCTAAAGAAAGCAAAGAAGTTTGCAAACGGGAAGGGAGATGCGAATCTGTCGCTGGGATCGTTTGTGGACACTCTTGTTGTTCGCCCAGATGACCTTGTTCAAGTGATTGCAAAGGTAGGTTAATTCAGTAGCATGCTAGGAGAGGCATTGTCCTGTACCAGTGTTCATGATAGCTCTTCTTTTTCTGCAGGGTCTTTCCCTCCCCCTTAAAGGTGTTTGTAGACCTCTTGATTCCAACGTGATGGCTGCCAGTGGATCCTTGAAGCCTCAAACTTCACCAGCAAATGACCCGAAAATGTCTAAAACTGAAAATATGTCTCCACTTATGTATGTTCTCAATTCCATCTATGCATACTGTTTTCGTATTGTTCCATATATATCATATTTGGATTGTAGTATGCATCGTGCTTGGCCCCAGTGTAAATGAGAAATTGTTTTTTCTTTTTCATGTGGGTTCAAGCAATAGATATCAAGGAATCTAGTTAACTTCATTAAATTCTTCCTTCTTTCCATTGTTGAACAATTAATATTATTTTTGTCACAGGCAAGCTGAGAAATGCACCTCAGTGGGTCAGGAGAAAAATACTTCTGTTAAGAAAAATGGTCAAAGTATGAATCCCTTTTGTTTCTTCTGTTACCAACATAGTATTTCTTCCCTTAGCTCCCTTTGCATTAAATCTGCTCAATTGCTCAGATAGTGGTAGCACTACAAGTTTAAGCTCTTCAACCGGACATGCGGGGCCATGTTTCTCCATGAATGGGGTTTCTAGGTCTGCAACTATGGTGCCTAAAGTTGATGTTGTTACAAGTTCAGCTATAGCTGCGCCCGTGGTGGCTTCAGATGTTAAACCCTCTCAGCCAGTCAATAATTCAGTTACCAAGATTGTCACGTCAAGCAAAACCGCTGCTAAGGTGAGCTCATTTAATATTGGATTTTGACAGTTCTGTAGTGATCTGACTTCTGACCTATTAGTGCTTGCAGATTTTATCTTCTGTTTTGAGTTTTGACCATACCTGTAGTTGCTAGCTGTACAGATTTGTTGATTATGCCGGTTGTTTTTTATGAATCCTTCCCCCTGTTAATAGAGCAATTGTACATTGTTTCAGGAATTTAAACTCAATCCTTGCAAAAAGTCTTCTCTCCATCTTTTGCAAGTTCTAGGCAAGTACTTGCAGCTACGACGGCCCCTGTTGACACATACTACATTTCACACTCTGCCCCTGAAGTACCAATGGGCGTACCTGTATATGAGTCAAAATCTGTGTCAGGTGTTTCACCTCTATCCAACAAGGTTCATTGTAGTAACCTGTCTCCTGCAAACTATGCCATTTCACCTCAATATGTTCAGTCAGTAAGTACTTCGATCTATTCTTATGTGCTTTTGTAGTTTCAATTGTTTCACCCTTCATTGGATAATACTATAGTATTCCTTGATATTAAAAAAAGGAAATATTGGATAGCAACTTGTAACATGCCTCCTATAGTTCAAGTTGATAACTTGCTGCACATGGGTTACTCCATTATTATTTGTTCTTTGAGCTCCTGCACTTACTCCTATGTGCTTTTGCAGTTGAGCTATGCAAGTCATTCTTATTTGTTAGCTGGCTAATTTACCTTTTCTGTTGGCCTAAATGAATAAATTGAAATTGTAAACCGATTGTTCACGTCAACTTACAGCTTAGCACAGCAACTTTAATTTCATTCTGATGCAAGAAAAATCACATCTTTTTACTCCGAACTGAAAAAACTAGCTCACATGTAAATGTATTTTATGTTTGACTTAAGGCTTCTTTTAACCACTTGTCTTTTATGCTCTGTTACTGTACTTTGTGCAAGTATATGCCAATACACTAAAATTTGGACTTGCTTGCTGCCTTTATCGTGAATGTCTAATTCTAACATTATCATGCTTCTGAATTCTGATACTGCTTAACCTTTTGGGTCATAGATCGTGGGCCATAATGCATCCAGGCTAGACCCAGCCAGAGTTGGCACACCATACCATCCCATGCAGGTGGGCGCAACCTACACTACCCCTAGTCCTCAGCCTGTAAGTCTAAATTCCCTGTCCTTATATACATAAAGTTATGTTAATTTGTGCTCTAATAAAAAAATTATTTTATGTGACGACACGATAGGTTATGACTGGGAAGTTCAGTCCTGTTGTTTATGTTCAACCAGTTCCTCAGGTGAGTGATTCACAATTATTATTTGCCTTGACACTTAAAGTGGATAATAACAAGAATAGGACGACGATGCAGAGAATTGTTCACTATTATATTTACATATAAAACCTAGACCTTGGGTAAAGTATTTTAGCTTTACACTCCTGCAACTTTGAGTGTTCTTCACATGTGATTGACCTTTGCTGCCAACTCTGATGTTGCACAGATTGTTTTACATATTAAGTAGTTTGTTAACTGGAATTAACTGTTTTCTTTTGGAATGGTTTTTTTCTGTCATGGTTGATCTGTTAACCTGTTTAATCTTGTTATCTCTGGCAAGTAACCAACCATGTTTCATACACATGATATGTAGTCTAAATAGTATAAGTTAGCACAGATTTTCCCCCCTTCCTGTTGGCTCATCTATTCTTGACTCCCGTTGAAGGATGCAATGCATGGAACACCCCTTGGTTTTCAAGGATGGCCTCGCCCTGTGCTGTTGAATTCATATCAAGCTAGCATGCAGAAGTTCCAAGGTAACAGACCAAAAACATGGTTTTGGCTACTGTAGAAAAGATATTGCAATGTTTAGCTTAAGTTTCTTTTTCTCGAATGGAACATACTTGTTTTGGACTGAACTGACCATGGAAGTACCTGCAAAATCTTTTCTCTAGGCAATACCCCGGTGTATTTGGCCCCTCCAGTCATGGCAACTGGGAACCTGCCATTGGTGGTGCCAAGCCCTGCACCACTTGTGCAGCCGTTCCAGGCCATTCATCCCATCATGGTCCCTGCTGCAAGCAGCATGGTCCCAGGAACCTACCAATGACAATCTCCTTTTGTTGGAAGAATCCTGGCTTACCCCTTTGGTTTGGGGTATACGTCTGAAAGGACTCCGCGATTTTGCCTAGTCTGTTGATTCACTTGTCAGTTGCTGGTCTGTGTCCGTATTTTAGTTGGAAAGGGCTTTGCAACTTCTTGCCATTCTTCATGCTTGGTGTGGGTTTCCGAAATATTCTTTTTAGAGGGGTTCCATGGGGCAGTAAAATGAAATAGAGAGAAATTGCAGCAATTCTTTGTTATCTTAGCAACACCTTTTCTTCTTCCAAGAGCACTATGTACAATGTGACATTGTAAAAGATTAAGATAGTGAAGGCCTTATTTTGACGAGGCTAATGTACATTCATCTTGCAAGTGTAACAACTTTTGAAGGTTTGTTTAAGAAAAAACATGAAGTTTTGTTCAACAATATTATTTATGTAATGTCAGCAATATTCTTTTTCTATTAGAGCTCACATTGATCGAAATTGTTTTACTAAATGGGGGTTTCATGAGAGTTTTATGGGCATTAAATAAGCTGACATGACATTGTATAAATGAAAAGAGAGGTGATAAAAGTTTCATAGGGATGAAACTTTACACTGATTCCAACATCTAGGAGTCTTGAAATACGGCCCTGAAACTCCCAACTGGCCTGTGTCCAACGTCTGGGAGTCGTGGAAATAGGACCCTGGAACTCCCAACTGGCCTAAGAGCAAGTCATATAGGACAACATAGTCAAGCCTTAAAAACTAGTAGGTTTAAACTGTTTATTTTGTAAACATGCAAGTCATATGTGTAGAATTGTATTGAAAATACTTCAGAATCTCAGAAGAATTATAAGAATATGTAATGGTGTGCAACTGTCCTTCCAATTAGCTTTGCAATTGTTTGAACATGCAAATTTTCCGAACAGCAGGGGTAAGAGCAGCAAGGCAACGACACAACTAAAAAGGATAGTAAATTTAGGTACAAAATACAGGGACAAAATCTGTTGAAAATATTTTTTTTGGGGAAATTAACAATAGACAATAGGGACATAACATATTAACATGCAAATTTTCCTGTATAGCATCAGGTTTCCATATGCCTGTGAATAGAGCTTAAAATGTCAAAAAGCCATATTACAAGACCAGGAGTTCAAAATAAATCATGTCATCTTCCTAAAAATGAAAAGTCCCATCAAGTATGTTTCTTTCTCCCTTTTTTTTTCTGGTTTGCAATTCTATCTGTGCTATAACTGCTGTGTCCTAGGTGATTTTTTTGGGTTTCTGTACCTCTACTTAATCTCTCACCTATACTTGCAGAGGAATAAAACTAAAATGTAAAGGTAGGAGTCTACACCTAAAGCATTGGTCCATTCACAAAAACTCCAGCTCCACATCCCAATAAGCCTGACAGAAACATTACAGGCAGCAAACTTTCACTAAACATCAGGATCTGTGTTGTGTTCGTTGAATCTTGATCTCTACTTTCATTTACCGCCAACCTTCATTTCTTGTTCATCATGCGCAGGCTGAATGTCTGGAATTATACAAATTTAAACACCGCAGTAGTTTGTTAGCTCTTGCAGTAAAAGAGAAGTCTCCCGACAAGGTAGGCAGTGTAGCCACCTAGGAGGTGACATTTATATGCTATAAGTTGCCTGTACTAAAAGCTTCAGCCATAGGCAAAAGGTAGGTTAGGATGAGCCATGGCCACCCAGTCTAGTTATGCATGGTAGATAACAAATTGCGCACAGGTACAAATTTTTGTAACAAATTTGGCATGGGCTTAGTAGGGTCCAAAAAAGTGTAGGATAAAGTATTATATATCTTTTTTTTTTCTCGAACGCATGAGAGCTGCATATCATAATCATTTCATCAAGAGAGGACAGAGGAGAGTACACAAGAGAACTAGAGATCTTGGATGCAGTTCAACAAAATTACAAATTCCTACATTTAGTACAACCTTTTAGTTTGTGCAGATAAAAGGGTATAATCAAATCATTACATTCCCTTTGATTTGATCAACACAAAAATATTCAGTCATCGCAATACTTTATCATAAAATCAAGATTCGGATGCCACTAGAAACATTAAAAGGAGAGGTGTAGGCTTTCCTTTTACCTGAGGCATCTGACTTTGAGGCATCAACTCCTTTCTGGACATCGGTCTCTGTCTTCAGCTGCTCAGATTTTTCTGTGATGTCTAAATTTTCATACCCACGGTATAAGATCATGGCCAGTTTCTTAAGCGTGGGAAATATTGGGATCATGTATCACCTGATGGTTCCTTAGAACTCTGCTGTTCACTATTTGCAGAATTTGGCTGATCTCTGGCGCCTGAAGAAATCCCCCGACTTAATGGTCACTTCTAAGTTTTAATAAAATAATATGGAATTGGAAATCAGGAGTATAAAATTATATTTTACCTGATTCTATCTTGATCTCATCAGACATTGTCACATCAACGTTTTGAGTTTGAACTGCCAGGAGAAAGAGCACTTAGACTACATGCACTATGCCAGTTATACTTCAAGTATAGAATTGTAGATCTTACCAGAAGATTCCCTAACCACATCTGTTACTTGATCATTAAGCTGTTGCCTTTCCCCTGGAACCAATCAAGGTAAGGAGATCGGGCTACATTAGTAGTTGAAGTCTCTCAACCCAGAGACAATTTTCATTTTTATATAAAAGGTAGCACATAAACTAGATTTGACCTGGAGAATCCTTGACCACTACATCCACAAGAGCAATGCTTGGTTTTTCATCTTTCACTACAAAAGGACAAATTTACAAGCGTTAATATGGCAGCCATAAGACTTATGAGATTGAAAAATCAGATGGGAAATGCAGTCTACGGGACAAAACAGTTTCGAGAATTCAAGTCAAAGATCTGAAACACAACAGGGCACCAATCCAGCAAAGCATACCTGGTGATTCCTTGGTTACATTTAGAGATTCTGAATCTTTCTGAACCTCATCAACAGACTTCTTTCCAGTAAACTCGTTTTGATTAGCCAGTTGCTTGCATGGTACCGAGACAGGACGGACAGATTTAATTGGCACCGCAGCAACTGATGATTGTGGGATCACAAGTTCAGCATCCTGCCTGGCCAAAGTTCTCATTTCAGGATTACTGGGAGCAACTGATATAGGTACTGCTGCAACAACACCAGAACCAATGTAAGGCCTAGGAGCAAGAGGCGCAGCATGCTTAGCAATAGTTTTCTCAACAGGTCTCCTCATCTGCAGAGGCTTTGCAAGTGTAACATCCTCCAAGTGAATTGGCACAGGAAGAGCAGGTTGCATATGGATTGCTGATGCTCGCTTTCGAACTTGACTTGGTCGAAGCATGGGTAGCTCTGGGGCAAGGTCATCCTTAGGTGTTATTGGACGGAGATTAATTTCATCTGGAACCCAACCTTTGAACACCTGATTGTCCTTCACTTTTACCGTAATGAGGGAAAACCCAGGAACTTTCTTGGTCAGCTTGCCAACAAAATGCTTGCCAAGAAAGTCATCCTTGCCAGAATTACCTTGAAGAGAAGCATTAGCCGAATTTCTAGGTTGACCGGACCAATTACCATGAGCACTGCCACCTAATGTATGGCTGGCCATACTTGAGCCATCTTGTGTGCAGTGAAGAAGAGGGGGGGCACTCTGGATGGGCTGTACCTTCTGTGGTAATTCATATACAGGATACTCATATTTCCTTGGGCGGCCACGCTTGCGTTTCACACCAGAAATCGATGACTGGTCCACGGACAAAGCTTCATTAGGTACATCTTTGTTCCCTTCTGATGCCATCTTCACAAGTTTTGTTCAACCAGCTGAATCTGAAAAATGGCAAGAATACCCTGTTGGTGTCAATCCGCACTTGTTTCTCTCCTCTAAACTGGGAAAGTGATGCAGTAGATCAAACACCCTCAGAATGAAAAAGCACGGGTAGAATTTTCAGAAGCTACATGGCACAATTTACAACCAACAATGCAATGTTTAGAGGCGTGTCTTGGCAAAACAGCAGTACAGGCTGAAATCCAATGTTATCACAATGCATTTTTATATCATAGATTTTGACGCTGCTGCTAAATGATTCAAAATGATTAAAAGCAAAGAGATAAATATATTTCCTGGTCTAAAATGCGAGAGTAAAAGGTACTAATCAATAAGAGTAACTTGATTCCTTAAATAAATCAGCATACAAGCCGATTGATCCCCTGCGCATGCGTATATTTAATTCGTACTCTGCCATCTGCACATACGGACATAACACGGGGACATCGTGATCAGTCGACCCCAAAATTTGGAAATAAACAGCCATCACACTCCGTCAAACACGCCAAGTGAATCGCCATGATCGGAGCATCCATCCCAGAGAGAAATTTCGATTTGAACGCTCACACCAAATAAATGGAAACGGTCAATGAATCCAAACGAAGTATCGCTTCCTTACCACCGAACCCGCCACGCGCCAATCCGGAGTGATCGAGCGCCGAGAGGGAGAAGACGAGAGGGGCCGTTGCTGCGGAATCCGGATCGCCGCGAGGGAGAAGACGAGAGAGAGAGAGAGGGAGCGCGGCGCAGGAGCAGCAGCCCCAGGAAAATTGGGGAACGGAACCTAAGCCACAATTAACGCGAGGGAACGTCGCCTTCAGCGTCGAGGCCCATGCTTCTTCGCTTGTGGGCCGCGCGTCCGGAGGCCCATGGTGCCCATGGTGGAGGGAGGCTCGGGCTGCGCGTGTGCCGTGTGGTGGTGTGCCGACTCGGCTCCAACTCCAGGACCAGGAGTACGCGTGGTTCAGCTTCAGCCGGCTGATTGAGGGCAGATGTGCTGCTCGCTCGGGCCGCCGGGCTTGACGGCACGCGGGCGGGAAGGCAGCGGCGCTGACAAGCCGTTTGACGGCGAGCGATGCACGAGGCCGCGTTCTGGTGCTGGCTTCAAGCACCGGCTGCGGGTGGCATGGCGAGCGGCAGGCGATGCATGGCGCGTGTCCATCTTTTGGGCATTTCGTCGAGCAGGTAATAGGCAAGGTGTGCTCATGCCGATCGCCGGGCTTGCCAGGGCCTCTCCGTCCATAAAATCGTCATCGTTACATTCCTCTCGACCTGCTCATTCGATCTGTTGCCCACACGAGGTTCCCAACCCTTCTTCTATTGCCGCCATGAACATGGTGTTCTCTGTTCTGTATGTTCGACTGAAGGTCGGTCATCACCAAAGGTCTTTGGCAGCAAAAACCTAACAAGGGAGTTAAAATGGAACAAAGGGTAAAGTTTGGTAAGTAGGTGCCATGGAATAAGTGATTTTGTGATGGCATATCCGAGACAAACGTTTGCAATGGCGTATAAAGAACAGAAAAGAACAAACTCAGTAACTAAGAACATATCTTAATCTTATATATTCCGTTCTCGTATAGTAGAAAAAAAAACAATGTACTTAAAGAACTAACTGATACAAATCTTAATCTTATACATTTATCGGCTTTCTTTTCCTCCTTTGGTTTCAGCTATTATCCTCTCAACTCTTATTGGAATTCTAAAAGCCACTGCCATGGCCCGTGATATTCACATTGCTGCACCTGCCCTCTGCTTACCAAGGCAAAGAGACATTGAATATCGGTGCACATGCAAGTGAGGCAGCAGAGGAAGTTGATTTTCTGATGGTGAGTTCTAATTTTCTAGCTCACACACTTGACCAAGGTTACTGGATATTCAAATAGTTCAGTATCATCATGGTTTTTGGCAGAATGTTAGATGTTCTTCTGATAAAGCACAGAGAAAAATTCAGATTAGCAAATGTCAGAACAAACTGAACTTCATTCCATTGCAGCTCTGAGTGGAGAAGTGAACAATTGGTTACTGAACAATGCTACACTGGTTTTACTTGAAGTACAGTTCAAGCAACTTCTTCAGGGTATCAAACACGCTTGTGAATGGGTCAAGTGCGACTGGTGCCTTTAGCTTGAGATCTGGGAACTGATTCGTCAGGGCCTCGTTCATCCCGGGCATCGACATCATCAAGGCAATCTGGTCTGAGGACATGTACTCGCAGTCTTGAGGGGTGTCCTTGATCTTGCTTGGGTCATAGCCGAAGTTGGCAACATAGGACTTGTACTTCTCAATGAATTCTGGCCCAGGGTTGGGTGTTCTTGAGTATATCTGATCAATGGCCGAAAGATGTTATAGTGCTTATGGTGTTTCAGATTACGAGTGCATCAGATGAGATGTGTTTACCATTATAAAGGTATACTTTCCGTACTTGCTTAATATTATTATCATTCAACAGCACACACTTTTCAATGTTCAGTTATGCATAAAACAAATAAAGTTTTTTTAGGTAAAACAAATAAATTAGGCCTACTTCATTGATTATATTATCAGTTCTTAGGACAATTTGATGGTAAGATCTTTTTTCCCCAGGACTAGCCTGGTTAAAACCACAAAATAAAGAACATTGAGCAGTTCAGAGTTCAGCTCCTCACCTGAATAAAGCTTGTATCCTTAGCTCCAGACACAACTGCATAATTGTCATAGTCTGTTGCAAGGACATCATAGGGTTCCTTGGGTATGAATGGCAGTGTGGGGAACCGGAGAAAGCATTTCCCACGGATCATCTCCTGCCTCTCGAGATCTGTCTCAGTGCTTGCCATGTCCTCTTCAGAGAGGCATTGCACCCTCCCTCGAATACCAGTGATGTATCCGTCAGGTCCACCGTGGACACAGAATGTATCCACCTGGATTGAGCGTGCCTTCTCATCAAAAGAATACACTCCCTGCAGTTCCAAAAAAATTGTACAACATTCATTTACAGACTATGTCATGCAAAGTGTATGGAAAATTGGAAATACCATCCCTATCTCAAACAATTTTGTTATTAAGATGTCAAGTGCTAGTTTATCATGACTGATTATTATGATATATTATTGCAGCACCATCATGCACAGACAAAGATGTTTTTTTTTAGATAATGGAGAAATTTCCGGCTTCAGACATCCTCTCCAATCTGTTTGATGTTTCAGGCATTGCAATACCTGAGTACAATGACAGTCTTCTTGTCCCTGACCAGCAAATCCACGTTTGAACGAGGCTACCTCAAACCATCTACCAGAGTAGCGAACTGGATCGAAGTTCTTGGCGGTCATACCCCTCATCATCATCCCTGTGCTGCCGTCATCTGAAGGGTTGTCAAACTTCAGAGGAACTGAAGCACTGTCAATGGCTGCCACTGTTGTGATCTGGCACAAGCCTGGACGGGCAAAGGTTTCTGCAGGAATAGCCTGGTCAACAAGAAGAGTTCATCGACATTGTGGAATGAATACTAATTTTAACTGGTAATCTTACTCCCATTATTTCCATGCATGTAGTGTGCACTGAAGTCAGCTACTTTTTGCTTACTTGATTGAATGAATCATGTGGCTACTCTGGTGCACCTTTGCTCTTTCCTTATGTTTCTTTTGATGAACAAAATTGATCTGTATGTGGTCTCTAAACCTTAGCTCTTTGGTGACACGTATGTGCATACACTAAGCAGCTACAAACGTAATGCAAAAAGAATCCTCTTTGTGGTCTCTAAGCTTTTGTGTTTGTATCAGATATGGTACAAGTGGATCTAATAAGATGCTGGAACATGTAAATAGGTACCTGACTAGGTGGAGAGACGAACACAAGCGAAGCAGCAAGGCATGAGATTAACTGCTTGGATACTAGCCCATGTTTGTTCTGCTGTGTTTCCTCATTCAGAGAGCATCTGACCATTTTCTGTCCGTTGGTGCTACATCTTCTCCTGCCAAGCCGAAACCAACAGACTCAGTGTGGAATGGCATTCAGAAAACCAGTAAGTTTTACTGCAACTTTTCATGCTTCTTGTCGTAATATAATCTGGATGAACTCATCTGCATCGCATCCAGGCCAAGTGGCCAAGGAAGGCAATGATAAATCACACACAACATTGCTTTCGCGAGCTAACTGCCAGAGTGGTAGTCACCGTAGCTGGATCATTAGTAAAGTGGGGATTTCATTTAGCATCTATATTCAGGAACACCCAAACACGCTTGAGATTCTAATAGCATCTCAAACCTTGCCGTCTGTCCCCTCCCCATTGTCAACAACAACCACCCTCCTCAACCTGACCCAGTCGACAAGCATCACCAAGGAAAACTAACCATAACGCCGGCACTCTGTTCCTGGGCCAGTACCTGGAAGCTGGAGAGCAGTCTGGGCGCGACGATGCAGGAGAGCAGCCCAGCACCACGAGAACCATGGCGCTCTCCCGTGGCCTCGGTCGCCTCCAAATTTCAGGAGTCAGGACAACGAGATCGATCACTTAAGGTTTCTTCGCAGCGGATTATGCAGTGGAGTTTCGCTGTCCATGGTGTGGTATGGCAGTTGGCAGCTCGGAGATGAAAGGGGAGCTGCTCTGCCTCTGCTGCAGCCTGCAGGCCGATGATGAATCTGGGACGGGAGTGAAGGTGAAGGGCATCCAGCGCCATCCAATGGGAGGTCCCCACGTCTGCCGACTCTCGGATTGGAACGGGAAGATCTCGGAACGCGAGTTCTTGACATCTCTGTCCTTGATTGGGCCTGGGCCGAATCTCATAAGTGCAGGCCGGATTGTTACGTAGGCCGCGAAGAAAGCCTGCTTCCTGTTCCCGCTCGCTGCCAACGGCAACCCAGTTGCTGTCTTCTTGTTCTTGCACCTCTGCCTGTCTGCCATTCACATGCACATTCACATGCATGTGGGAGATTAGCTGAGGAGTAGAGTAAGCAGCTGAGGGAGATTAGCTGCGTCTGTCACATTCACATGCCTGATGTCGCCGCGCTCAGCTGTGATGCCGTTCGTTTCCATTTGATACTCCATATCTCGATGCCTCTTTTTCCATTTGATACTCCATATCTCGATGCCTCGACCTCGATACCACTAAACTATCAGAACTGGCGCTGGCGATGGGCCATTGCTCACATCTTTACAACTCTGCCATCTCCACGCTCCCCTCTCTCCCTGAACATCTCCTCGCCATCTCGATTTCTCCACCGCTGCGTCAGCGCTCGCTCTCGCCGTCCCCGCTCCCGGATTTGCTTCTTGGCAGCGGCAACAACAGCAAACAGGGATTTTGTGTTGGCATAACAGCACCGGCGATCAACTTCTGCTCATTTCCCTTGGGTTGGGTTGGGTTGGGTTTGGGTGAGTACTTCTCCTCATGTCCTTATTTATGTTTCTCTACTTCCATTTTCTTTACTCTGGTCTGGTGACCCCAGTTACCCAGTATATTTTTTTTTCTTTGGTGTCACGATGGCATTTCTTATTCCTAAGCGATTTATTTCCTCTTTCTGCGTGTGTGCAGCGTCCAAGTTTGAGTTGCCTGTAACCACTAACCAGTGTAACGTAGTACGCGCGAGCATGGAGCTCGCCGTCAGCGCCGCGAGCTGAGTGGTGGGCAAAGCGCTGGCCCCCGTCACGGCGGCTTGCTGGAGGCGTGGGCGGCCAGCGAAGGGCTCGGCCCCAACGTCGACGCCCTCAAGGTGGAGCTGCTGTACGCGCAGGCCATGCTCGATAACACGCGGGGCAGGGAGATCCGCAGCCCTTCGCTCAAGGAGCTGCTGAGCAAGCTCCGTCAGCTGGCGTACGACGCCGACGACGTGCTGGATGAGCTGGAGTACTTCCGCATCCAGGACGAGCTCGACGGCACCTACCATGCCACCGATGCGCACGCCGGGGGTTGCGTCCACGGCCTCGCCCTCAACGCTCGACACACCGCGAGAGCTGTCGCTGCTAAGCTCAACCTCTGCTCCGGCGGCTCTGCTGGTGACGTGATCCTTGCCGGTGATCCTGCTCAGCAAGATAAAAACGCGAAACAAGGATGTCTCTCTGCTAGCGTCTGCTCATGTGGCGGCCGGCAGACGGTCAGCTCCTTACCGCCATCTCCTACCAACCAGGATGATGGCCAGGAGGCTGCACCAGCATGTGGCATCAGTAAGCGTCTTCTCTTCTCCCTCCCGTGCTGTTTTTTTTATATTACCATCTGTTGGTGCATGCTCTGACTTGTCCGAGGATCATAACATGACAGGAAATGGACGGCAATTCTTGGGTGCTGTCTTGCCTCCTAAGGTGCAACGATGCTTCTCGGGCGTTTGCTTGTGCCGCAAGCGTGAGACGAGCTCGTCGCCACCAGCACCCAGCAACCAGTGCGAAAAGAAGGTTGGCGGTGGATGTGGATGCCTGCTCAAAGTCACTTCTACTGCTCGCAGCGCTGCCCAAGTCGTTGGTAAATGCTTTCCATGCTGCTCTTTTCCATCTGACAGCGACGATAATACTCACCCTGGCATGTTGGAGAAAACAAACATGCCAGAGGATCAAAGGAGATTTCTCTGCTGGACGTCCAAGGTACAAAAGGGAAAAAACACTGCACTACCACCAGAACTGAAGTTTAACAGGGTGAACATCTCTACAAAGATGAAGGACATCATAGAGCATCTCAAGCCTATATGTGCTAAGGTCTCCAACATTCTGAACCTAGAATTCATGGGTACAAACCGTATCACTGAAAAAGACATTGCTAAGAAACGGCCTATAACCACCCCAGAAACTACGGAACCTCAATTATATGGGAGGGAGCAACAAAAGAAAATAATACTTGACTTTGCCCATGGTAACTCTTCTGCTGATAATGAACTAGTTGTGCTTCCGATTGTTGGTCCTGGAGGAATTGGGAAGACAACTTTTACACAGCACGTATATGAAGAACTGAAGAACAACCCTTTTGAGGTCGCAATTTGGATACGTGCCTCCCTCAATTTTAATGCTGGTAGGTTGGCCCAAGAAGCCGTGAAAAAAGTTCCTAAAGTTGTTAATGAAAAAGAAAACAGCAGTGTCGAAGAGCTAATCGAACAAAGATTGAAAGCTAAGCGGTTTTTGCTTGTACTAGATGATATGTGGGCATGCCATGAGGATGAATGGAAAAAAATGTTAGCTCCATTTAGAAGAGGGGGAGGAAAAGGTAGTATGGTAATTGTGACCACTCGGATTCGTGAGGTGGCAAAAATGGTTATCAAGACAGTTCACTGTCCAGTAATAGAAATGGAGCGCTTAGAGGGTGAAGATTTCATGCATTTTTTTGAAGCTTGCATATTTGGTGGTCAGCAGCCATGGGAAGGTCACACGGACATACGTGAGGTTGGGGAAAATATAGTGAGCAAATTGAAAGGGTTTCCTCTTGCAGCAAAAACTGTTGGAAGATTACTAAGAAGCCAACTTACTTTGGAACACTGGACTAAAGTTCTAGAAAGCAAAGAATGGGAACTTCAAACCAATGATGATGACATTATGCCAGCATTAAAGCTTAGCTATGATTATCTTCCTTTCCATCTGCAACAGTGCTTTTACTATTGTGGTTTGTTTCCTGAAGACTATGAATTTGACAGTAAAGAGTTAGTTCACTTGTGGATTGGACTAGATATTGTACAACCATGCGACCTGACCAGAAGAATTGAAGATGTTGGCTTGAACTATTTAAATGACTTGGTTAATCATGGGTTTTTAAAAAAGAATGAAAGAAAGGATGGTTCTCCTTATTATGTTGTCCATGACCTACTACATAATTTGGCAGTGAACATTTCGTCATTTGAATGTCTCAGCATATGTAGTTCCAATGTTAAGTCAATACAGATTCGCCAAGATGTACGTCACCTGGTAGATAACAAGGAGGTCGAGGACATAAATACTTTCAAGTATTATAAAGATGACTTGAGTGTACTTGATAAAAGATTGAATATTGAAAACCTCCGTACTTTGATGGTGTTTGGGGAACACAGTGGAAGCTTTGCCAAGACTTTTTGTGATTTATTTGAGAAAGCTAGAGCCCTTCGTGCTATTTATTTATTTGGAGCATCGTCATATGCTATGAAGGACATGTTGAAGAAGCTTCCAAAGCATATTCATCTTCGTTACCTAAGGATCAAATCGACTGATGGCACAGAAGATGACACAGAAGACAGAGACTTTAATCTTAGTGCTCTGACTAGACTTTATCATTTAGAGGTCATAGATATGCAGGAATTCAAAGGTCACTGTGGTTTCACTTTCACAAGACATATGAGCAACCTTGCAAAGTTGCGTCACTTTTTGGTGCCACAGGATAAGCTTCAACTTCACTCTAACATAGTTGAGGTGGGAAAACTGAAATTATTGCAAGAGTTAAGGTGGTTTGAAGTTGGAAGAGAGACTAAGGGTTTTGAACTAAGTCAGCTTGGTCAATTGTCAGAACTTGGAGGTTCACTTTCCATTAGTAGTCTTGAAAGGATACGGGCAATGGAGGATGTGCATAAGGCAAGATTGAAACAAATAAAATATTTGCACAAGCTAACACTAGAATGAGATGCCAATCGACCTAAGAAAGATACCATACATGAAGAAAATGTATTGGAGATTCTTATACCACCTAGTGCTCTTAAAGGCCTTTGCATTAGAGGCCATGGAGGTACTAAATGCCCGCAATGGCTTGGTGAGAACCTCTCTGTCAAAAAATTGGAATCGCTTCATCTATATGGTGTAGCTTGGAATATATTTCCACCTATAGGAGAGTTCTCTCTAGTTAATGAGCCACGTGAAGAAATTTCGAATAATAATATCTGCCATGATAAGTTTCAAAATTTGAAGAGACTGGAACTAGTTATGCTACCAAGTTTAAGAAGCTGGATTGTCAAGGCACCTTGTCATCTGTTTGCTCAATTGGAGGTGCTTGTCATTAGGGATTGCCGTGAACTAACGGAATTGTCATTTTCACATTATGCTTGCTGTCAGCAACAGAAAGAGGCAAAGATAAATTGGTTTCCTAGACTACGGGAGCTCAAAATTAAAAAATGTCCAAAATTGTTGTCTTTTCCTCCTGTTCCTTGGACTAGGGCTCCATGCTCAGCTGAGATAGAAGGAGTTGGTTCAGACCTTGAGAAACTTGTTTGTAAAGAGAATTACAAATCTGAATATTGCTTGGAAATTAAGATGAAGGGTGCTCTGGTTAGTGAGTTATGGAATATGTTGGCCTTTGATAATCTAAATGAAGTAAAAGAGTTGAAGATGGACACATGCCCTCCTCTCCCACTGCATCACTTCCAAATGCTATCATCCCTAAAGAGCCTCAGGTTATACGGAGCTTCAAGTATTGTCTTTCCGTTGGTAGAAGGTGAGAGGCATGCCGAATATCAATCTCCAGCTGAATGCATAACCATTAGTCCGTGGGATGCTAGTGCGAAGGAGTTGACACAGCTACTGACTTATTTCCCCAACCTCTCTAAACTGAATGTGTGGTCGGGCAAGAAGATTACAGGGCTAGCTGCAGTGGAGAAGCAGGCAACAGAAACACCTGCGCTGGTATCTTCAGATAATAAAGTAGACGACGATGTAGAAATCGAGCAGCAGGAAGGCACAAGAGGAGACGAGGAAATAGATGCATCATCAGCAGAAGGGCTGCTGCTCTTGCCTTCCCAACTACAGATGTTGTGGATTGCCAACTGCCCAGAGCTGAGCCTCTGCTCATGCTCCGGTCCAGCCGACTACAAGTACAACAAAGAAGCAGGACGAACTAGTACAGGAAGAGGGCTCCAAGGTTTGCGCTCCCTCCGATCGTTGGAGATCAGTGGTTGCCTCCTCTTCTTCGTGTTTCCCCTTCCCACCCTCCCTGGAACACCTCTCTCTTAGAGGCGCGGTGGGCACGGCCACGCCGTTGCCTCTCTCAAACCTCGCCTCTCTCACAAATTTAACCATATCGGAATGTGGGGATTTAAGAGGCGAGGGACTGCGGCATCTCCTCGCCCAAGGTTGCCTCACCAAATTAAGAGTCCTCGGAACCCCCAATTTCTTCGCTGGTCCCGAGCCCCCGCTGCCCCATGAACAAGAGTTCCCATCCTCTTACTCCAAACTGCAAGTGCTTGAGACGGCTGACGTCGCGGGCGTCCTTGCCGCGCCCATCTGTACCTTGCTCTCTCCCTCGCTCACCGATTTGAGATTTTGTTGGGACGAAGAGGTGGATCGCTTCACAAAGGAGCAAGCGGACGCCCTTCGGCTCCTCACCTCTCTCGAGGAGATCACATTTTGTGGGTGCCACAAGCTGCAGGGCCTCCCTGCAGGGCTTCAAGGACTACGCAACCTCCAGAGATTAAACATCTGGAGTTGTTGGGCCATCCGGTGGCTGCCCAAGGACTGCCTCCCAAGTTCACTACAAGAGTTGAATATAAGCGATTGTCCAGCCATCCAGTCTCTCCCCAAGGACTGCCTCCCAAGTTCACTACAAGAGTTGAAAATAAGCCATTGTCCAGCCATCCAGTCTCTCCCCAAGGACTGCCTCCCAAGTTCACTGCAAAAATTAGTGATCGAAAGATGCCCAGCCATTCGATCACTGCCCAAGGCGAATGACCTACCAAGTCCACTCCGAGAATTGGATGTCCAGTATAGCAAAAACGAGGAGCTAAGAAGGCAGTGCCGCAAGTTGATTGGAATCATTCCAGTTGTCTACGCCTGACTCAGCCAAGGTAACAAAGAGGTGGAACTTCCTACCCACCAATTTTGCTTGCATTCGTTAATCCCATAAAAGTCAGTCGTTCTCCTTTTATTTATTTGACTGCAATCATGATTTCCTTCAAAATAACCCACTTGTTTTCACCTACTGTGCAGGGCTCTTTCTCAAATTGTACATTCTTCTAACCTCCGGATTCTCACTGTATCTACACATGATTCTGAGTTGTCAAGCATTAACAACATGTCAACATCTCAGGATGAGCCTAACACCCTGTACATGAAAATGGTTAGTATCCTATATGCAAAATACCCTTCAGTTCCATACAACATTTACAAGTTTGATCCACATTTTGATAATCTACTGCCTGTTGCTTTTGTTATTTGGATGCCTTTTGTTTATAATCATCATATAGTTCGAAACATCTGTATTGTACTTGAGAAAACTATCAATAGAGAGAATTTTCTCACTCAGAATACTGAAGTGTGAGTTTAGCTGTTTTAGAATGCCTCGCAGCTTGCAAAAAATGCTCCATCTAATTTCAAGTTGTCTTGGGGGCACTGCTACAGAAATAAGTACTTGTTAGTTTATTTGTTTATTCTTGATTTTGCTAGTTTACAAGAATAGTGCTTCTTAGATTGTAGAACCTTGTTTGACTACTTGCCTTTTGCATCCTCATGTTTTCTTTTTAACTACGAGAGTACTTGTTACTTCTGAACTCTGATGTCCTAATTTCATTGCGCAATATTGAGCTGATTTGTTGTATAATCACAATAATTTACTTTCTGCTTTGTTGTATTTCAAGTTAGCGTAACTATTGGGGTTTAATGAACTTCATGTTCATATGTATTCTCACTTTCTCAGTATCTGCAGGATTTCTATTCTGACTACATAACAAGTGAATGGTGCTAACCTCAAATACTATCATACTGCCACTATGTTTTGTAGATCATGTCCATTGGATCATCCTAACTATTATATATAATAGAACAACTCTGAGATCAGATTATAGTAGTGCAAGGTAATTGCTCTTTGTTTTTTTCCTAATCACATGAACGTTTTTACAGATACTATGTGTCTATGTTATGCAAGTGCTCCTTGACACGAACCCTACTTATTTTAACCTGCAGTTCACAAGGGTTCATCAAGTCCTTGAGCTGTACATCGTATAATCTTGTTGGATCTTTCTGAAACACATTGTTGCACCTTAGGGGATTGAGTGTGTATTCCTGTTGTTAGAAAATCCTTGTGTCAAAGGTAATTATACTATATTTGCTAGTTTTTAATGTTACCCATGGGGAAAAATAGTGAGGTTGGAATTGTTTGTGATATTTTGGCTATTCAGAATTAAGATTGTTGTGTGCCCACGTTTGAGGCTTTAGAAATGATGTAGCATGAGAAGATATTTGTTTTGCGAGCACTGACTGAAGATGTTGAACTGAGTTTTTTTCTTATGGAAAAACCGAATGTTCTTCCATCCGTTTTAAAGAAAATCATTGTTTCAATACTTCTATAAATCTACAGCAATAATAACAAGGATACATATGCATTGTGTCCTGGTAGCAGATTGCTAACTAGGAATGCATTGTATTGTCCTGATCAGCCAACTAAAGATCAGAAAGTAACATCTATGTTGATCAACTGCACATGTTCAAATATGGGTATCTTGTGATATAACCATAAGTGTTTAGTGGCTTCGTAACTTATTATTTACATCACTTGTGTAGAGTATATCCTCTGAAGGTTGAACCCCAATGTGGCCACGGAACGCATATGTAGGCAAAAGTGTGGTAATGAAGGCAATATTCTGCTACTGCAACAGCCAAAAATGATTATTGTTAAGTACATGCACCTTTGTCTGCTAAGTCCTCAAGTATTAAGTTTTCAACTACATGTTGCATATTACTTCCTAAGCATGCTGTCAACAGATCTGATGTTCTGGACTCTTGCCTACATCCTTGCACATGGATGTTCTGTATTAAACTAAAAACACCTCAAAGTTCAGCTTGTTGAGCTCGTGGGACCTTCATATGAAAAAACGAATCTGGTAAGTGCCTCGAGTATACTAAATTTTGCTTTAGTTCCTTTTTTTTTGTTATGAATTACTCTGAAATGTTTACTTTGATGAAGTGGTGAACACTTAAATCTTTATTGATATTTTTGCCACAAGATGTAATGAGGAAGGTACTGGCAGAAATGGGCAGTGTTTGGTATTCTGAAAACATGTTAAATCAGTTCAAAATGTTGAGACACAATTGAATTATAAATGTTTTCGTGTCAGGCCATCTCAAATGATGCAGATATCAGTCAAGTCATGTTGTTGCTTAGTAAATTACCATGCTGCTCTGAACTGTCCATGATAATAGCATGCATCACTTCAGTATTTTGTAATTGTGTGTAATTTGTTCCCTCTAGTAAATTTGGCTATCCTGGTGAAAAATGAAATTCTACCTTTGGACTCTCTATTTTAGATTATAAAGGAGATTAGGAGATGCACATATCTGACATGATTTGAATTTGCATAGAATAAACTGATACTCTGTTAATTGGCAAGTAATATTTTGAACTGACTGTAATTCTCTAGTGCACGAGTAATTTAAATTCTCATTATTATGCTATAATAACTTGTTTCCTTATACTTTATTTCACTTATTATAATGTAATGGAAATTTCCTTCACAGATTTCTTCTTTTCTTTCTTCATGCAGTGAACATTGATGGAAAAGATAAATAAGAAGATTTACAAGCGCCATTCTCAATCACCTTAGGTAGCATTACAGATAGTTAGGTACCATAGTTATGCTTTCTTTTTACCATGAATTATGGTTTTACTTGTTATGCTTTCCATGTCACAGGAGCACAACTTGTTCTTCTGCTAGACCACAAGCTATCCTGCTCAAGTGCACAAGTGCAAGCTTGCCTAGTGCTGCTCAAGTGCTGACAACAGTAAGAGCTTCACTTTTGTCGATCTTCAAGATTCAGTTACAAATGATATAGGCAGCTAATGCGAAAAGTCTCCTAATGTTCGTCTAATTTTCTAATTAAACATTGCATGGCAGCAGTGTTGGCATGAAGATTTGGCTGATTCAAGGAGGTTTCTGGCACTTCAGTAGTCAACATGAAACTACTACTACACCTACTATTCTATTCACTGGAACAACTTCAGATGTTCCTACTGGGTCATTCTCGTTCTCTATGGTCTGCTTGTTGATTGGCAGATCCAGCCAGTGCCATCAAGCAGCTGTGAACCAAGAGCTCCTTCACATTGCACTCATCTACTCCAACAGAGTAGCTGCATGCATCCGGTGGTGCTCACTCTTTTTAAGCACTCATCCTGGATTGCATATGAGGTGAGTGTTACACGTCTGCTCAGGCTCATTTGTGATGCCAGTTGACATTTGTAAATGCCATTTTTTCTAGTAGAAATATTGGTCAACCTTTTCCCTCGGACCTTTCTGCAGACACTATGCCCCAAAGTTGTGCCAAGATTACAATCATCTTCAGAAGGTATCGCTTCGGGACATCATCATTTGGCTTGAAGCTAGGCAAGGCTTCTTGCATCTGTCAGGTTCTTGCCATAAGGATGGCAGGGGGAAACTAAGCTGAAGCGTCGTCAGGGAAACCCAGAGAGAGCACTATTGTAGTTGTAGCAGTGAAGGGATGGATCTATTGCCGTTTGAGATGAATCGCATCATTCGACTTTTCCTTTAGACAGCTAATGTTGCTAGCTTGGATAATTTTTCAGTCGAACTTGGTAGTTTAATGGTTGTGCACTGATATGTCTCCGGCCGATTGTATTTTGGCAACTATGCAAGACTAGTTCATGTATCTGAGCTGAGACTGAGACTATTCGTTCTCATCAACAAAGCACAGGACAGCAGTCCCCATCTAAGCTTTTGTGATATATATCCGCCCGATCAGCCCGAGCATGGAACGAATTTGCAGTTTTGCACTCCTCGATGGATCAACTTAGCATGCATCACGCCATCTCCCTAAATATATATCTCACTGTATTTTTCTACTTGGACGTGTTTTAATTAAGATATATATATATACTGGGAATTTTCAGTATGTAGCATGCCTATGTGTAAATTTAATTAATCCGTCTTTGTTCAAGTATGAAATCACTTCTCCACTAGCCGAAAACTTGAAATTGGGAGAGCGTATATGTATGAAAAGGAGAAGGAAAGGAAAGCAGTTGGACTAGTTTCATAGTATCTGGATAGGTATCATTTCACTAGCGGGGGTGGTGATAGGTGTCAGCCTTCTAGGATCCGCGGTAGAGATCTTATGAGTAATTTATAGATGAGAATTTTAAGGCATCGCTTTAGGTTATTTTTGTTAATGACTGAGTTAATTTTTTTATATTTAATATAGTGGCAAAATCCCTAAACTAATATGCTACTTTGAGCTAATCTTTTAATAACGAATTAGGTCTTTAGTTTACATGAAAAAAATTATGGGTTATTACCTTGGTTTATTTTTAATAATAATAAAGGTGAATAATCTAGATGTAGATTCAGGGATATTAAAGTTGTTTCCTATAATTACATCTATAGGTAATTTAGATATACATTTAAGGGATTACTTTAAGTTATTTTGATAATGTCAAACGTGAGTAATTTAGATTAAGTTTTTTTCTCCTTTGGCTAAGTTGGTTAGGTGGCTTGAGTACCACTCCTCGGGTCCTGACTTCGACTCCTCGTGGAAGTGGAATTTTAGGCTGGGGTTAAAAAAAATCGCCTCGTCTGTCTCACGCCAAAGCACAAGTCTAAGGCCCAGCTCCGGTCGTGGTCGTTCTCACATGGGCTATGGTGCCGATGTGTATGGGTGGGCAGGAGTTCGGAGATTTTCTCGACCTACGTGAGGTCTTCTTCTTAATGCAATACTCAGGGGCTGTCTTACCCCCGCAGGTTGAGTTTTATAATTTAGATTAAAAAAATTAGGAGGTAATTTTAAGTTACTTTGATATAAGATCAAGCAATTTTCAAAGATGTAACATGCCTA